ACATGCAGGTTGGTGTGATTAACACCTACTTTCTCTTTACTTTACGGATATGTTCGAACCAGACAGCTGATGAGACGTAAGACACTGATCAACAAGAGGATATTGTTTTCATGTATCACGACATCAGAGAAAACTTACAGTTAAAGTAAACTATGGCAATCAATTGGCAATCAATTAGCAGAGGCGGGTCCGGGGGGTGGGGTTGAGTAGGGGGGGGGCTGCAATCTCCCTTTGAGCAGCAAGTTTTTTTATTTGTTTTACTCATCATAAAAATACTAGAATAAAACAGTTTTATTCGTAGCTAGTTTCCCCCTCATCAACTGACTGATTGTCAAGTTAGGAAAAGATAATGAACATTTCGCGACTACCTTATTATCTTTGGTTTTCTGGCTAATGAAAGGGAAACTTCCGATTTTTTTATCATGCCTTCACAAACGTTTTCGAAGTGTCGGAAATACATGAAATGGCGTTTTAGAAGTAAAATCGAAAACTTTTCTGGGGGACATGGCCCCGGATCCCCCATTCGCACCCATGATGTCCAAAGATATTACGGTGTACAACCCCCATTTCAAGAATTCTAGGATCCGTCCCTGATTAGAGTATTAAGAAGCGGAGCTTTAGAGAGAGCATGGAGTTTAAATGTAAAGTTAGTTGTCTATTTCGTTTTGACAAAAACTTGTAAATTAAAGCAAGCAGTCAGGCAGACAAAGTCGACCTGAAACATTCTTTACTTCAAAAGCTTCTTTAGGAAAAACTTTTCTGAAGAGGGTGTAGCTTTAAATCACTGATTGGTTCATTCAAATATTTATCGCTGATTATTTACCACTTTAAGATACCGAGGTTAACAAAAGCATGTCAGCTAAAATGTCGGACACTGTTAGTTGTTTAATTTGTAAGCATAAAGATATTCACTCTTTCATACTATTAAATTGAGTTGAAATGGTAGAAGAAGAGATAGCAGACTCCCTTTAAGAATAATAATGATAATGATAATGATAATAATAATATTTATAATGCGCAAATTTCATAAAATGTGCAAATGCGCATGACAAGATTAAAAACGGAATAAAAAGGATAAAAAGCTAAAATTACAATTAAAAGTAAACTTACAACGATTTTAAAAAGCTTAAGGTTACCGTAAACCTTCGCGGGTGTCCTTAGCGAAAAAAATATTACCGCGCTGTCTTAAA